AGCAGAGACCACAGCCCGTCCCGGGTCCCCAGCCCAGGCACGAGGCGAGGATGAGCTGGCCAAGAAGATCTCCGGTTCCGGCAGCTGCCGCTCAGGCACAGCCGACCCAGGTTTTCAGCCACCAGGCGAGGAAGAAGAAGCGGGCGGCCTGACAGCCTCCTCTCCTCTCCTCTCCTCGAGGAGCTGGAAGTTCCCTGTTCCCCAGCTCCAGAACACGTTCCAGTGTTAGATGCTCATGTGTTTTCGGGGTGCCACCATGCCCCCATCTTCCCGCCGCCTCGAGTGATGCCAGAACGTCATCCTCAAGTTCGCGCCATAAGGGAAATGGACTTAACATCAAAGACAGCAAGTTCCGCTGCCTGTTTAACTCACACAAACACATGTCATCATTATTGTTTCCTAATAAATCATTTTCCACTGTCGTTTCCAGGCTTGAAGCCAAGGGCGCAGTCAATAAAAATGAAAAGAAAAACGGTCTGTCTCTCAGCCCGCGAGTGTTTATACGGTGTATGGAAGCCGCGATAGCCCCGTTAAAACAACAGGGTATTCGCTTGGCAAGTTAGCTGGACGACTGGCTGCTTCTCGCACAGTCGGAGCAAGAGGCTATTACGCAGACGAATGTCCTCGTAAAACACCTGCTTGACCTGGGTTTCGTAATAAACACAGAAAAGAGGATGTTGCCCCAGCCCAGACTGTGCTCTTCCTGGGCCTACACCTGAATTCGGTGCCCATTACAGCCCGCCTGTCTGCAGAAAGAGTGAAAGCCTTCAGAGCTTGCCTCGCTCATTTCCGGCTACGCAAATATGTTCTCTTCAGATCATGTCTGCGGTTACTGGGGCTCATGGCGTCAGCCATCCTGGTGGTACGACTGGGACGCTTACACATGAGGGAGTTTCAGCGCTGGGTAGCTGCCCTCAGACTGGACCCCGCGCGTCATGGCGCGGAGAGTGATGGTCACTATGAAATGCGTAATGGCACTGCGCCACTGGCTGCACCCGACTTTGCTAGTATGGGGCGTGCCAATGGGTGCTGTCCTATCGCGGAAGGTGACCACAGACGCATGTCTGACGGGCTGGGGGGGTATATACGAAGGTCGACCTGTGAGGGGTCTCTGGAGCAGACACCTCCAACGGTCACACATAAATTATCTGGAGCTTTTAGCGGTGTTTCTCACCCTGAAACGCTTTCTGCCTTTTCTCAGAGGACATCATGTCCTCGTGAGGACAGACAACACGACCACAATATCGTATATAAACCGCCAAGGGGGTTTGCGTTCTCTCCAGTTACACATGCTGGCACGCAAACTGATCNTCCTTCCAAAGTGGGAAACAACTGCGGCATGATCTGGACATCCACATCTCGGGAGAGAATCCATGCCAGCCTGAAAACCATGAGACAAGAGCGCTTCTGCCTGTCTCTTTAGCAGAGGGAGATTTGGGGCCCCATGGGGGATAAAGTGGAGTCATTTCTGGTGAATCTGGTCAACAGTGCAGATGGTGTGTTACCTGCCAGAGGGCCGCGCAGTCCAGTGACATACATCCAGGGAGCATGGTCAGACCATGGGCGGGCTTGGAGTGGACAAAGGCTTGCAGTAGACCCATAGGAGAGCTGGGTAGAAGGTCTTATTTCCGAGCACAGGTAGTGCCAGGCTGCCACAATTCAGTAACTCCGTTCTCCATTTTAGGCCACCAAAACCTTTGCTTGATCATGTACATAGTTTCGTTTGACACCTGGATGACCATGCTAATACAGATGTGTGAGCCAGTGAATCACGTCAGAGCGGAAAGATGGGGGACAAAAGAGGCGGTGTAGGGGGCAACCGGACTGGGTACGGTTGTTTTCCCTCTAAGGCTGATTTACCTTAGGAGTCAATTGGCCCATCGTCACGCTCTATCACCTGAGTGGGTGTAAACAATGGATTCCGTCTCTCCTTGGAAAAGAGCCTAGGTCAAAAAGCCTTGATAACGCATTCTGGTTTGGCGTTCTGTGAGCCCAGGACGGTAAAGGAGAGAGTGAAGTCAAACCTATTGAAGAATGAAGGTCCATCGTGTCTGTCTGGGAGTTTAACCTCTTAGCCTTGCGTATGTTACTCCAAATTCTCTGTGGTCTAGTCCATCAGAACATATAAAATGGGCTGTTTTGCCCGCCGCTTCTAGCCCAGTGCCTCGTCCACTGCATCCAGTGCTACCTTCCACGGCTAATAACTTCTCTATTGCCTACATCGTAGATGTTCATTCCAGCCGCAGTCAACTTACGTGAACGGCAGCACATGGAATGGAGCTTACTGTCTTGTCTCTGCCCTCTGTGAGAGGACCAGGCCTCCGATGCCCTCGTTTGGAGGCATCCACCTCCACCGTGAACTGGCGTTGAGGATTCCGGGATGGTAAGTATTGGAGCTGTTGTGAACACTTTTTTTAGCTTCTGGAAAGGCTTGGTCTGCTGTTGGGGTCCACACAAACTGAACAGAAGGAGAGGTGAGTACATGCATAGGTGCCGCAATAGGACTAAAATTCCTAACACAACTTGCTGTAGAAGTTTGCAAATTCCAAGGAACTGTGTTGGACTTTTTTCCTGGAAGAGGGTGTGGGTCCAATCAGCCACAGCGCTCACTTAGCAGGATCATCATCTGGATTATCTGGTAAGGACCCAGGATGAAACCCAGAAATGAGGTGGAACTGACGTGGAACTCACATTTTTCAGCCTTTACATAAAGTTGATTGTCCAACAACTTTCTTAATACCTGGCGAACATGTGAAACGTGTGAATCTTCATCATGGGAAAAAATCAAAATATCATCAAGATAGACAAAAACAAAATGATTCAAAAACTCCCTCAACACATCATTTATGAGGGCCTGAAAAACGGCAGGTGCGTTTGTTAGACCAAAAGGCATTACCAGATACTCATAATGTCCGCTTGGAGTGTTGAAACCAGTCTTCCACTCGTCCCCCTCCCGTATCCTTACCAAGTGGTAAGCGTTACGTAGGTCCAGTTTTGAATAAACTTTAGCACCTTTCAACAGTTCAAACGCTGATGTCATAAGTGGGAGGGGGTACCTGTTCTTGATAGTTATGTCATTTAGGGGGCTGTAGTCGATGCAGGGCCTCAGGGATCCATCTTTCTTCTCAACAAAGAAAAAACCAGCTCCGGCGGGAGATGACGAGGGACGAATGAGACCCGTTTTGAGAGAGCCGTCTACGTATGTACTCTCTCATAGAATCTCTCTCTGGAGCTGAGAGAGAGTACAGTCTTCCCTTGGGCAAGGGGGACCCAGGAAGGAGATCGATGGCGCAGTCATAGGTGCGGTGAGGAGGAAGGGATGTCGCTTTAGTTTTATTGAACACCTCCTTGAGATCTCGGTAGCAGCTGGGTACGTTCGAAAGGTCAGGGAAGTCTGAGTCTTGATTATTTTTATCTTCCCTGTCATTGTCTATAATGGGCTCTCTGACAATTTCAGCAGTTTTGCCCCTGAAACACGAATGAGAGCATTCGCTTCCCCACCCCAAAACTTTACCAGTCCGCCAATCAATGTGAGGGTTATGTTTGCACAACCAGGGATAGCCCAGAATTACTGCATGCTGTGCAGAATCAAAAAGATGAAAAGTCATATGCTCCGTGTGTTCATGATCAATGGTTATTTTAAGAGGCATGGTTTTATGAGTTACTTTGGACATGAGAGTACCGTCCAGAGCGCTAGTTTCAATTGTCTGAGTCAATGGCAATTTTCAAACGTTTAGCTAACCCCCAGTCCATAAGGTTAGCGTCAGCCCCTGAATCTACAAGTACTTTCAATGCTATGCTGTGCTCCTTATTACTAACCTCAACCTGGGTTATGGATCATGAAGGGAAATTTGCGGTTGTCCATCGGCTCACCAGCACCCTCCGTCTTACTGGTGAGCCCCGTCTTTTAAAGGGCAGGCTCCCAGGAAATGTCCCTGCTTCCCACAGTAGAAACATAAACGCTCCCGGAGACGCCGCTGCTTTTCCTCGGGAGACAGCCTGGCCCTTCCGAGCTACATGGGTTCCTCTTCTGTGTTCCACGAAGCAGGTTTCACGGTCGAAGAGGGATTGTGGGTCTGAAATCCGGGTCGTAGTGGAGATCGTGCAGGAGGTGACGCTTTCCTGGCTTTCTCCCTCCGTCGCTCTTGCAGCTGAGTGTCTGTACGTATAGCCAAGGCGATCATACTGTCCAAATCCGGCGAAAGATCAAGAGGAATAAGAAGATCCCGCACACAGTCACTGAGTCCGCTGAAAAACATGTCATACAGTGCGTCTTCATTCCAACCACTGTCCGTGGCCAAAGTACGAATATCAATGGCGTAGTCAGACACACTCCGATTCTGCTGGGAGATCTGTGTCAGGGCTCTGGCGGCTTCTCTTCCCGGTGTGGTTCGGTCAAAGATCTTTTTTAAAGTCTCAGTGAATAGTTGGAGAGAATTACACACCGGAGACCTCCGTGCCCACTCTGCCGTAGCCCAGGCTTCCGCTCTTCCCGTGAGGTGGGACAGAATGAACGCCACCTTGGCTAGATCACTGGGGAAGGCAGCAGACTGGCAGATAAAATGTAGGTAACAATGCGTTAGGAAAGGACTGCAGTTTTCCAGACTCGCCCGAAAACTTTGCAGGAGGAGCAAGACGAATCATGGAAGCTGGCATGGAAACAACAGCTGTAGGCTCTGGGGCTAGGACAGCCGCGTTGGAAGGAGCGGCGGGCACACTATCCAACCGTGTGAGTACATTATGGAGCTGTTCAGCCAGGTGATTCATTTGCGTTGTAACTGCGCCACGAAACTCACTCTGGCTGTTAGTCAGGGTCATTACTCCCTGGTTTATGTCCTTCATTTCTTCCTCCTGCTGCCGCAGACGTTGAGCCTGAGAGCAGAGTGCTGCCCTCAGGGTTTGAGAGTCGGCTGAGTCCATTTGTTGGTCAGATCGTAATGTTAAGACTGGGGCACACAAAACTGATAGGACCCAAATGCACGACTCCAGACAAAAGATGATTCAATAAAAAGGTTTTTACTGAGGTGTTAAACAAGGTAAGCCATTCACAAGGTTCAAAAACGATCTGGCACTGAACACAGGGAACACACAGAATATATACAAAAGCAAGGGACTCCACAGGTGCAAACAACAAGGGCGGGGCAGATAATCAGGTCAGTGGACAAACAGGCAAAGTAGGAGTCGAACTACCTGAAATGAGAAGGGAAATGACAAAGTAAAACAGGAAATGGCAGACACGGAATTTGACAATAAAGACTCACAGAGAAATAATACTAACAGATCTGCCGAGACACAACACAAGGGTTTCTCCACCAAGTACTAACACATGTTTTGCAAGGGGATCAAATACTTATTTCCCCCAGTTAAATGCAAATCAGTTTTTACCTTTTATATAATGCACATTTCTGGATTTTATTTTTGATATTCTTACTTTCACTCTTTATATAAACCTACCATTAAAATGACAGACTGTTAATTTCTTAAAGTGGGTAAACTTACAAAATCTGCAAGGGATCAAATACTTATTTCCTCCACTGTAAACGATGCTTCTTTACATGTTGAGAATGGACAGAGCAAAAGAAAAAAAGGTCATTTATTATCTATTATCATTTGTGAGTTGCAGTATATTATGGGCATAATCTATTCTGTAATACTTTAAATTGTACTTATTTCTTTCACTTTTAACAAGCTAATGCTTGTTCTTCGATGGCCGAGCAGCACTATTCAGGTTTGGCTGTCTTGCTCACAGACACTAAATCAGAGTGGAGCTCTGTCAGAAAGCCTGTGCAGTGACTCCTAATGAAAGGTAATGAAGGCAGAGTCTTACCCGTGTGAGGTCCATGCCCAGTTTGAGCTGGGACAAGAGGTGAAGCATGATGTTGCGCTGGTCATCCAGAACTCCCAGGTCCTCCTCCTCATGGTCCTCTGTGTCGGTGGTCTCGTCGCTGAGGTCCAGGGTCTCTGGGCTGCTGCTCTGGCCCTGCTGGTGGAGGCGCAAATTATAGGTATGAATGGTACATCGTAAACTGTCTGCCTTTTTAGTACTTATGCAGTCTTTGCGACCCCTCAAAGCGCTTTTACATCTACAATTCAGGGCAAAAGATCAAACTTTTAGCACTCTATTACCGTCAGCTTATTGATAAAGCTCTTTAACAAGTTGAATTGGTTTAAAATTCAGGGTAATCAATTGATGACCATGCTTTTTGCACTGTAATTCATGGAAAATGCTTCCTGTGGGTCATGCTTTGTGCATTGTCGTGTTGAAACAGGAAAAGCTTGCACCTAAACTTTGTTTTTGCTGTAGAATTTATATTTACCTTCTATAAAGTTAGCATCGCAAGGGCTAATATGATACTTACATATTTGACTAAGCAGATTCATCTCCACTAACTCCACTTCATGCATTTTAAAGCATTAATGCAATCGCTGGAAGTAAAAAGCTAACGTTAGGTAGTATACAAACTACATTACAATTGCATGGATGCCCATCACCACTGCTAAGCTAAATGCGGCTAATGTTTGGTGTGTCGAGGTGAAGCAACTTTAGTTTTTATGACAAATAGAAGTTTCGGACATTCACCAGTGAAGTATTGTCTGACATATTTTATGTCGTACAACAAAACAGGAAAATCTATTCAGTTTGTGTTAACCATAACCATATTTCAGGCTTCTAACCACAAACACGTACAAAAACATGGGACTAATTCCTGCATCACTCTATAACCATGGGGTATGCTTTAAACAAAAGAACAAGAGTTAGTGTCTAAGGTTATACGACTGAGCACTACGGAAGATGGAGGTACCATTGTGAGCCAAACAAAAAGCTCTCTAGCACACACTCATATACGCGCGCGCACGCACGCACGCACACACACACACATACACACACACTAGATGTTTCACACTCACGTTGTTGGGCTGGCATGCAACCCCTGCTGACTTGTTGGGAGTTATGCTGGATTTCATGTCCACCATCCACACACAGATAAGCGGAAAGACCCGCTGACTTCCAAATACTACCAAAGCAAGAAGTGACAGAGAGAGCCGAGGAGGAAGGGGGGACAGAACCAGAGAAATGAAAGGCTGAGAGACATTACAGAAGAAGAGAAGAAAGAAAGTGAGCTGAGATAAGAAGAAGAAGAAGAGGAGGAAGGAAGAAAAGGGGGTATGGGCAGATAGGAAGCAGAGCGTAGATCTGCTGCTGCTGCTGCTGCACTTCTGATAGACAGATTAACATGAGGCTGGCAATCCTCTCCATCCCCATGAGCCTCTCTCTTTACACAAGCCCCGCCCCCTGCACAAACACACTGCGTTACATCAGAACCCGTCCTCACTCTGTTCCCTCCCCTGCATGCTACTGTCCCATCCCCCTTCCTCCTCGTATACCTCCATCCACCCCTGGCTACACTCCACAGCCGGTGTAATCACCAGCATGGAGGCCGCTGAGCGCAGAGCAGCTGCTCACTGTTTACCAATGTAAACTCTGCCAGGCTGCAAATTGTGTGCGTTGTGCAGTTCTTTGAAAAAATGGGGGAATAATACAAGTCAAACATTGGCATTAAGTGCTCCACAGAAGTAACTTTGGAAAATATTCAAACTGTGTTGTTGTTTTAAAAATAATCTATTCCATAAAAAACAATATTCCATGGTAAATAATAAACAAACTGCACTTATAAAGCGCTTTTCTAATCTTATCGACCCCAAGTCAGCATTCACCCATTCATACACATTCATACAGAAGCAGGGGCGGATCTAGACAAATATTCATGGGGTGGCAAGAGGGTGGCAGGAGAATTTCAGGGGTGGTATCCCCTGGCAGAAGTATATGCTGATTTAATCGCAGTCATATCAATCAATGTTAACTTGGAAAGCCACAATATTGATATTTTAACTCAATACATTAGGTGACATTATTGTGGCACATCAGTAAAGCCTTAAATATATAAGGTGGCACACGTAATTTAATGAATTTTAACTGAATGAGTTGGTTTAACTCTTAGACCAGCAGGGGTACCAAATATGCAGACTGCTGCAATAAGTACATTAATTAACTGTCTCATCGATGTGTGTCTGTATGAATATGATAATATTAACAATCATATTATTCCTATCAGCTGTCAATCACTGTTATGATTCACATATTCAGTGTTATTATTAAATAAACTATATTTTTTGGAGGAGTTAATGATGAACGTTCCTCAAGATGCTTGCTCACCCTCCTTCAAATTTGAAAGACCAGTAATTACTATCATAATTCAAAAGAATCAAATGTACAGTTCAGCGCCCCACAACTTCATTGCAAACAGTTACAACCTTGACTTTACATCAGAAAGAACAAACATTAAAGAAGTGACTAACTGCATCAATTAGGGTTAAAAAAACGTGTATTCAGCTAAAACATATACATCGCTGCAGTTATGATCCAGTGGAAAGTCCTTACCTACTGGCCTAGTTAAATCAAAGTGGTTACAAGTAAGGTCATCATCTTAACAGTTTTTTATGCTCATCGAGTCATCCGTCAGCAGAGCATCAAGTTGGCATGCCTATAACAGCTGAATGTGGCGATTACCATCTTGTTCAGCAAAACGGCTCACAAACTTATTAAGATTTAAAGCTATGGTGCGTTTTGATTCAATGCTGAGTACAGCCAAACTTGACAGGCTCTTCTCTGTCATTGTAGACTGCAAACAGTGGCGGCGCCAGAGTATTTTTGTTGGGTAATCTATGGTAGGGCTAACCCATACAGTCGTGTGGCTCAAGTCAGTATTTGCAATGTAATTACATACACGCTCGCCTTGACAGTGAAACGCCACGCGTGAGGTTTAGATTATTTCCCTGTCTCAATCCAAATTGAACTGTATGAAATAAAAAGGCACATTTGTCTTGTAGTAAATAAAAAGGGCGACCTGGAGCCACTCCTGCAATTTACCCACAAGTGAAAGAGTTGACATGCTGACAACCCAACCCCTGCAGGGGGGTCTGGGGGGATTCTCCCCCAGGAGGTTTTTTGAAATACTAACATAAAATACACATTCTGGTACTCTCTTGAGAAGAAAAATAAATAAATCTATTACTCCACAACATATTTAAAAAAATGAATGCCATGTTAGTTTTTTGTTACTTTGTTCTGAAAGCTGAACCTGCTGCTCCTCACAGAGAGAAGAGGGAGAGAGGCTGTGTGAAATTCTTTACATTGTGGATAAAGGGGATGTGAGATATAGCCCCATTGTTCTGTGTGCAAAAATGAAAGACAGGCCCACACACCTATCATATCATCAACCCGGCGCCTCTGTGGAATACGAGTGACTTTCTATGAACACCAGAATGTCCAACACGGTTTTTAATCCGTCACGTGTGTTACATGCAGACAAGGATTGTTCCCCGCAGTTGCTTTGCGGCAATGTTGTATGGTTGATTACAGGTTGATGAATTACGTTATTCAAAGGGATTATTAGTGACATTACTAGGTTTGATTTGCAATGTTTGTATCATGAATCGTTGTATGTATTTACATCAATATGTTCTGAAAGCTTATAAAAATTTGCTCTGTAAGGTGATAATATTGCGATTAGTTGAACAACTGGTTTAGATTGGTTAGTCTACATCATTGTTCAAAGAGGCCTGGTGGGGCTGTGGATTGAATTATCGCTCGGAATTCTTTAGGTCCGGGCGGTATTGTTTTGTACGATATTATGATTGAGCGGACTTCAACTGTTATCCGCGCGTCATCTGCGAGCTACACTTCTAATGTACATACGATATATTTGCTGGCAAGGTCTAAGGTGGTCAAATTCAGGATTGCTTCTGTCTCCATTTTCTTCATCGGATGTGTGAGTTTGCCCTCGATTACTCCCATGGTCGGTTGACCAGGCCTCTGACCAAGTTGTCTAGACTGCTCAAGCTCGGTCATCGGATTACGCCTTGCAGGAATGGTCAGGTGACTATCAAGGACTAGCAGAGCAGCAGGCCGCGCAGCATGATGATGATGATGTTAAATGTGTATGTTTTAGGAAATCTTTGCAAAATACATGGATTCAAATAAACATTGAAATAGCATATCATGCAGTTTGTCTGTGCCTTTTCACTCCGTGTTGTCCCTGGTTGCATGTATGCCTCCATAGTCGCCACCAATGGTATTGGCTGTGCTGCCTGAAGAAGATGCTCAAATCGACTCAGAGAAAGGAGTACGCAATGTACGGACTTCCCCACTGACACAGAGCGAAGGAAAGATGCTGGC